GGGTAAAACTGGCAGAGCCACGAGAATTTGAACCTTTGATATGGGTTTTCTTGGCCTGTGCAAGTCGTCGGGCTCGCTTCGCTTCCCTAGCGCGTTCCTCATCCGAGGGGTTTGAGAACTCTCCAATGCTCTAGAGACGATAGGTGAGTCTATGAAGTTGAAGATAATTTAGACAGCATCATTACCTCGTTATCACTCGCATCCCATTCATGGACGCCCTCTGGGCTTCGAGCCGCACCTTCACTCTCCCAAGCACGTAATGCGTCATCGCCCACTACATCCTTATCAGCTTCTTCTTCTATGATGCCACTATCACTTTTGCCTCCTCTGCCCAAACTGCGTAGGCTCAATGCGGCGCTGATCCTGCTTTGGTGTCTCGAATGGAGACGACTGTTTGGTTGCGAGGGTATCTCATCGACCTCTGGGATCGCATCAAGTTCCTCTTGAATGGCAGCTGCTAAGTCAGAAGCAGCGATATCCGATATACCGGCTTGAGAGCCGGCCTCTTCCAACTCTTCCTCAGTTTCCTCCGCTATATCCAAGCCAAATCCACGAATAAAGTCCGGCTTGTTGAGTGTCGAGCCAAGACGACCTGGTATACCTCTCGGGGCGTGAAGCGGTGATTCCTCTGGGGTGATAGATCGATCTTCGGGTAGTCTACCGGCACTTCTTGCAGGAGAAATGATCTGGTCTGATCCCAAAGTAGCATTCGGACCGAATGGATTGAAAGCACCTGCTGGGTTGTATGCCGCCATTGCGGTCGGATTGGCGAGGGACATGGCATGCCTATGACCGCCCGGCATTTGGCCAAATCGTGGTGGAAGGCCAAGTAGGTGATTCGGAGACGGAGATCCACTGTTCTGGCGAGGTCCAGGTGACACGGAAAGGTTGGAACCCGTCATATTGGGAGAGAGGACCTGACTCTGGTGTTGTTGAAGCTTGTTCAGTTTGAACATCAACAGGTTGGGATCCGCAGGAGAAGAGATCTGTAAGGGAAGTGCAAAGAAAAGTTATCGTCAGATGGTTGACAACAAAACGAAAAAGCACGTGTGGAACACGAGCACCCACAGAAGCAGCTCTCCCGTGAACATTATGGTGTGTAAAGATCGGTGGTGGAATATTACTCTCGAGGCCCAATTTCTTCAGTTTTTCGTCTACAAGTTTGCGGGCAAGAACATCCCAAGCGCTCTGAATAACCGTTTAGTCTCGAGTGAGGTCAAAGTTCTTAGGGGACGTCACCTTTCCCGGTAAAAATACATCTACTGTCTTAGGAAAGTCTCCTTTCTGGCGCTCTTCAGGATAGATGGGGATAGTAGCCGTGTCGAGTGGCCGTGGGTCTTCCATCTCAGAAAGCTCCGACGAGGGTACTGGATACCTGGCAAAATCCGGGATAACGCCTCCCTCGTCTGGTCTCTCGTTAGGGACCTTGATTACAAGTTTTTTGTTCTTTAGAGATTTCTCCATAGCGGCCGCAGAGGTTGCTGGGTTGGTCATGGGAGCTGCGACGTGCTTATTGGCTGGGCCACCTAGAGTAGCCTTTGGAGGTCCTCCTAAACTGACACTACCCTGTCTGCGGTTACGGGTGAATGGCAAAGAAACCGAGCCTGTCCGTCCATGGCCCATACCGACACCGGCCGTTCCACCTTGGTGGGCCAACCCTTGCTGGCCATTCGCTAGATGTGGGGGAATCTGATGCTGTTGCATGATTAAGTTGTTAAAACCTGGAGTGAGCGGTGGTTGCGCAGCAATATTAGGTAGAACAGGGAGTATGTTGATAGGTCCGACAAGGCTTCCCCGTTGGTGGTGGCCGGGGATGAACGGAGTAGTCGGCTGGAAGAATTGAGGATGAACGGGAGTCTGCATACTCAGACTGAGCGGGTGGGGGAGGCCATGGGGGAGAGAGGGCCGGAACTGGGTCTGGAGAGCTGTTGGCAGCGCTGGCGAGAACGAAGGCTGACCACCAGCTTGCTGAGCGAAACTTGGAGGGACAGAAATACTGAGACTGCCTCGTTGGTGTGGCCTTTGCGAGGCCATTGTGGTAGTAGGACGTTTCGTTCCGTGACTGTCTCAAGTGCGGAGAGTCTCAGCTTTTCTGCGATTAGGAGAACGGAGAGCACCAGCAAACCGTCACTGAGGAGGTATTAAGAATAAACTTGATATGGTCCAGAGCCCAGGAGAAAGGTTTTGCGCCAAGCTGTGTGTACTGTGGTTGCGGTTGGGTTCGAAGCCTTGAAAAGTTGGTGGTCAGGGTTGACCGGCCTCGTGCCTGCAAATTTCTGCCTATAATATAGTTCTCGCCTATGCCAACGAACAGGTTCTAATGAGATACCATAGCAACTTGACGACTATGGGTAGAGAGCCAGGCCCTTATTTATCGGCAAAATAGGTAATTTTCGTTCATACGTATTGAGCCTGCTACATAAATGTATACATGATTATGGTAAAGACAACCAACAATCGAAGCACCTTAATAGGCATTATGGACATTGACCGGTTGAGTAAGAGTTGGATGCGCAGTTCGACCGTGAATGGATGCCTTCAAGTACTCAAACGTAGGTACAAATCTACCTTCCTGATGAGTAAAAGGGCCATAACCGCATCAGAAAGTCATACCTCTGTATCGCAACGCATTCATAAATTCATCGAGAACGTCCTTTTCGTTGAGTCGAGAAGATGTGGTTCCCCCACCATAGTTCAGCGAGTACGTCGACGAGACAGAGTTCCAGTGGGTCTGGGCAATTGTGACCAGACTACTATGTGTTTCTCCAACGTCGCTGATGGAGGTGGTGTCGATGACATCGGGGACTTCCGTCGTAGTCGCTGACAAGCCCAGTGCAGAGGTCGTAGCGTACATATTCGTTGGGCCGTTCGGAGTTTTGGTCGAGGATGACCTTGCTATGTTCGACTTGACTCCCGATTCCTGCATCTCCATTTCGTCCCATGCATTCTGTCCGAATTTACCGTATTGTCTACCTCTTGGTTGGCTACCAGAGGACGCGGCCTTGAGTAGACTGTCGCGTGGACTGATTGGGTATTGTGCAGAAAGAGGGGATGGATTGATCGTAGCTGCAAGGTTGTACGTCTGTAGGTATTTCAAGAGAGCAGGCATAGGCAATGTAGCCATATCGAACTGAGCGGTGAGACGCGTCAGAATGAATCCGCCTATGTCATGATAAATGCTCACAACTATCAAGGGACCTTCTTCACCTCTGGTTATCGGGCTGTTCGCAACAGGTTGGTATGCTCCATTCCCCACGTCCAACTTTCGCCGTTTATGGCTATTATTGCTTGCGGATGTACCGAGGATATCTTTGTCGTATCCACTCGTTGTCCCATATTTATCGTACCAGTCTCTTTCACGACCTGCCGCGCTTTGTCCATAGCTATCACGTTCGCGTTGCTCGCGGCCAGAGTAATTTCCATGAGGAGCGGAACCATTTCCGCCTGGGATACGCTTGACTCCGGATAATCCGTATGGACTATCGTCGGTTTTTCGCTTCTGTGACGCTCTAGGCGGCATTTCGAGGTTCCTCGGACAAGTCGAATGGCGTTGTAGAAGTATGAAATGGCGGTTTTCGTGCTAATCTCTTACGGCTGATTGACGCTGTATTAGGTTGTCGAATCTGGCTAGATGGGTACTTCAGGGGGGTAGCAACACGCGTCTGTGGAATGATAGAAAGGTTACAACTGAGCTCGAAAAGTCTGCTACCGCGTTAGAGAACTGTATCACTAACCCGCTGTGCGTCTTGTGTTGCAACGGAAGGGTCCAAGGTATCTGGCGAACGAACCCGGAAAGGAGCGGCGTTGAGTTTGTCTTCCGAACAGCCACTCAAAACCGAGCGTCGACGACTGGCCCCCCTTTCCCCCAAGTATGGCATCTATAGCGACTCGTAGACTTGCAAAGGAACTTAGGGATATTCAAATGAATGGAACTCCTGCTGGGATTGAGCTCATAGAGGTAAATGGCGACAAATGGATCATGGGTATTGAGGTATTGGGAGAATCCTTATACGTGGTGAGTCGAAGTTTTTTGCTCTTCGTCACTCTACTCTGGTCCTGGCACATCATGAAGCTACCATATATCGCCAGCTTCTGCGCGAGTCAAGAAGGCGCGGGCCACAACATCGAACCAGGACAGCACTTGATTGTATCATATATGCTGCAATTTCGGTGACAAAGGATGTAGACACGAGACTGACCGCAATTTCAGGGCGAGAAGTTTGCCGTACTCTTCCAATTCGAACCTCAATATCCAATATCGTCCCCGATTGTCACATTTATGCCGCGCTATACGCCGCCACCAGATTCAACCTCCTCTTTTGATAAGAGTACCGTCTACACGACCCCAATCCATCCACATACGTATTCAAATGGTCACATCTGCCTGGATCTATTAGGCGAGCCGTACAGCTGAACACTGAAACAAGTCCTAACCAGCGGCAGGCCCGCAATGGTCGCCAGTTTTAACAGTGACCTCGATTTGCTTATCACTGCAAAGTATGCTCGCATCATGTAGGAAGCTCGGTTCGTGCGCCTTTCCCCGTCGACCTTTGGCTTATCATTTGCGAGGCAGAGCGCCCACCAGACAACGACCGATATGTGAAATCGGCCCCTGATAATCCTAAAAAGGTGTGAAGATCGATATTGCTTCGGATGGTTCTCACTCCTCGTTATAGACACGGTTTCACTATGACGGTAAGCAATCTTCCAACGAGCGTCGGGCATCCGCTCATCTTTTACCATTTTTGATCATATTCACCCATAGATGACACGTATGTACCTCGTTTGACATGCTAAGCTCCTCTACTGACAGATATTCAGCGTTTGACCGGAGGGAGGTCTCAGTGATGGCCTGCTACAAATTGCTAGCTGGAATCCTGTTTCATTAATCACACATTTATGAAATATAAATTTGATAGTCTGTTTGCAATGGTCACTAAATGGCTTATCGCTTCAGAATCAGTATATATTGATTGGCCGATAAGGCGGATATCAACCGAGCGTCTGTGGTTCAACGGTAGAATTGGTCGTTGCCACGAAAGCATTCTCGACTAGACCGGGGTTCGACTCCCCGCGGACGCAGATTTTTTATCGTTTTCATTCCGGGCGAGCAGAAAGCGGAAAGGCGGGCCAGCGACCGTTCGGTCCTGGCCCAGCGTCGCCTAAGGGGGCACCAAACCCTTTTAAGCACCATATTATTGCTTTCTACACTGTTTTGTATCCATATATGCAGGCAGTATGGCACCCCCCAAGCGATTACTTGGGCTTATTACCGTGTGAATTTAAGTTTATACAGGGCTGCCACATCACTTGAACGTCGATGCTTTGCTAGAGGCCTAGAGCACTCAAATGTAGGCCGTTGGCCAAAATGAATATACTGTAGAATCGAATTTATTTGGGCATTTTTAATGGATATTCTATATATGTCTTTGAATCTCACCATGTCGAAAATATTGACGAAAGGTAAAACTTTTCGGGTCTAAAGACCCAAATTTCTGTTGCTAGCATTTAAGCACCAGGAAATTTGATTCTACAGTATATTTTATTTTGGCCAACGGCCTACAGTTGAGTGCTCTAGGCCTCTAGCAAAGCGTCGACGTTCAGTGCAGCGGCGGCCCGGCAATAATTGCACTTGGCCACCCCCACATTCTTTACTGCTTAGAATCCCTGGACGGCTCTCAGCCCTCATCTCCATCCGATCGTAAGTAAAAGTCCAACTGTTTATGGCTGGTAATTCACCGAGGTTTCTTTCCCTTCCCCCAACGAGCCGCCATAATTGCTTTGCTTGGCATACACCAGTTATACGGTCGGACCAAACACTCGACTAAGCGCTCGCAAACACAGATGCAACATATTCGTTAACGGTCACCCGGGCTTTACAAGGCGCGCCGACACCTATTGAGGGCTTTACAGAGACCAAAGATCATGTTCATAGGTTGGTTCGTGCTGGCAGAGTGCCATTCTCCAAATGTACACAACCACAAGCACCGCCTTGTAAACCCAGACGGTCCTTATGAGTATCATGGAACAAGGACGTACTCGAATGCAATCCACCGCATACACGATTGTACTTTTTGCTTTCTTTGCTCTTGAGGCGAGTCCAAGGCTTCAAAGGAATTCAGATTCGCATTCGGGCTGCATTTTTGGAACTTATATGGACCAGTTACCCGCTAAAGGCAGGCCCCTTGGTCCTGCTCACCTCTCTTCTCTATCGCCCGCAGACTTTGTGTCGCCGTGTCACCAGGGAAGGAAATGAACTGCCTGCTTTGGTATTTCTTAAAGGATCCTTTATCTCTCCCCCCGGTTCATCTCTAACCCTTTCCCTTGATGGCGTACTATCAGAGTCAGTATCATGATCCATATGAACGCTGTGGCTCCGCTAACGTCTACCATAGAATCTCCTCCCACGCCTTTAACCGGATAACATAGCTCCTCTACAAAGGCAGACCTCGAGGGCCAGAATTCTGTTGAGCCCTTTTCCCATGATGAGAGAGTGGTCGACGATCCTCATGGAAATACGTCGACACAGAAATATAGTCTACAGTGGCGGAAGGAGGCATGTACAGGCGTGATTCGTGCTGGGAGATGGCCGCGAGTGATATGTGGTGTTCTTGGTTTCATGTTCATCGCTGCATGGGTCTGCGTCATGTTAAGCCTCATCGGTACAGAGGTCTGATATGGTAAATCAACTGATATTCTACCTCGGTCGTGGGCTTATCTATCCTTGTAGAGCAGCAGAATGCGCGAGGGCTATCCCATCGACGACAAGACCATCTGGGTAGCGGCAATAATGAGCAACTGGATGGGATGATATGTGATACAAGAATTTGGATGCGTAGCCACATTTCCGAACTATTTCAAGATAATGCTCAAAGGCTCTCTCGTCAACTTCAATGTCGAGAGGCGCGCGCTCAGTAAGTTTCTGCTTGACCTTATCTAACGATACTGATATCACGATAAGCTGTTGTATGGTCTGGTCTATACTTATATAATGCAACTAAAGAAGCAGTATACCTCGGTAATGTGGATGATGAAAACAGTATTGTATTTCCCTACGGCATCGAAACCTATCGCGACCTCTCTTCTGTGCCTTACAACGTGACTTATACGTGGCATTACGATAATCAAACCTATTGGGATTGGTCGTATGGAACCGACAATATAACGGCCAAACCCATAGGCGTTATCGGGATGCACGTTTTGGATAGCTTCGATACGGATATCACATTTACCCAGAAGCGGTGAGAAAATGCCTGGTCTCAACCTTCGCTTGGCTATCCTCTCGACCAATGGCAGGGTGAGTAGCACCTTCTCCCGACCCCTGCATTCAAGACCTGAAGTGTTCTTGTTAATTAGGCCAAATTGTCTTCGTAGCCAATAACCGTTTCCTTTCGAACATCGTCCTCAATGCAACTGGTGGTGCCGTCATGGATATAGCGGGCATTCAGCTTGCAGAGAGTACTCGTTAGTGTGTTACCATGCTTCAGAGCCTCACTAAATCACTGTCATCCAGTCAACTGGTGATTCTCATACTCGTATCAAGACCGTTGTAGCCCAGCTAATGTCGAAATCAACTGGCTCACAATCAATATAGGTGATTTACCTCCAAGATGCCATCTGGTAATTTGATGATGTCTATTTGAATTTCTTATTATCTAATACCGGTATCTTTAGGCAGTCGATTCTGTTGGCAGGAGACCACCACTATTGATATTCTGTACGACTGCCGCCATCTTTGTCAATTGGACATATGCACTCTTCATCTTCATTCTTACATGCGAGGCGATTGCCATGCACCATAGCTATATGTTAAAGGGAACGGATTTTCTCCTATGTGCTCTACCGCCTTATTCGCACTGCCGACCATTCGCTCACTGCTTCCTGGTACGTATCAGATCTAAGCTGTGTTCATTGTGGAACTAATGTGAGCGGCATATGGTGCTATCATCGATATTGTCGGCATCTTCCCTTGCACGCTCATTGTCACATTGTGTGCTGTCTGCATCTCCGTTGCAAAACTCAAAAGGCGGGGAGAGTCAAGGAAAGCAGAATAGACCACTCAAACAATGCATACTTTGCGATTCACAATGAGGCAGATCTGAAAATGTATACTCCTCTTATGGACTGACTGTAACCTGATATATACATCTTAGATGGGCTCTGACAATTTATGGCAACCGAAGTTTGATACCGACCATTTTCGGGATTTCCTGACACGCGAGTATATGCATAAAGCAAATAACTGGTCCTGGTGTGCCCATGATTGTAAACGTCAATTGTCAGATCCACAAATTGTCAAGACCCGACAGTCTTTTCACCGCCCGATTTGTGAATTCCAATGCAGTTATAATATGCCATATCTTTTGGTCGACATTTTGACCTAACGAAGCTAAAATACAAGCCGAGTTTCTACCTTTGACTGGCTCTATGCCCGGTGCACGTTAACCACCACCATAACCATCTCGCCATGACCATCAGCAATCTTATTGCGCTTAATTGCCCGCTTGTCACTCAATGGACAGGGGATGTAGACCTCAGGCTGTTAACCCAGTGGTAATGGGATGCTAACGGCTGTTTAGACGGGTGGAGGTTAGTGGGAATGTTGTTCACAATGGACGTCCATACTGAGCCGTACTACTACTCGCCAATACAGCCGGATTTTTGAAAACCCCGCTCAGGCCAAAATGGTGTCCCTACGAGGGTGCAGCTGAGCTGAGCGCTCAGGCAGACAGGAACAAAGTTGTGCTGACAGGGAGCGTCCAACCTCCAATTGCGACTTATCAAGCCCAATCTCCTGGAACAAGACAAGTGGTATATACATAACATGCTGTAGACAGACTGTTTTTTCAAATCATCACTGTGTCAAAGTTCGTAATCACCCATTGCATCGCTGGATTCGCTGCAGAGGCATCACGTGCTTGTCACAATCAATTTTCGGTTCCACTTGCACGAGAGACTTGCCCATTTATTCTTCCCACGCGCTAAAATGTCTTGGCAGGCCTCCCTACCAGTGGATGAATATGGAAAGCTGGAGAGTAAGTTTCCGGATCTCGGACATCGTCTCACTCCGTGACATTTTCAAAAGAGACCGTGGCCTAGTCTCTGCACTGATAAAAAGACCGTCCATTTCTCTTGCTTTTAGGCCACCCCCTTCCTAGCTTTCTCTTCTTTGATGGCAACGAACGAAAGTAAGCCTTGTCGCTCGCCGTACCTCTCATGTCACTCACACATGACTACATAAGTTCCTTACTCCTCTGGGGGTCTCTCGAAGCGAGATGTTGAGTCCCAGACTCCAGACCTGAAACCTTCTCTGCACGACGAGAAGATTGTTGAAGATGAGTATGGGGGGGCTGCGCCAATGCGCAAATATAGCGCCCTCTGGTGGAAGATGGCGTGGAATGACCCAGAAACCGGAATGCGGCGGAGGATATTATACTCTGTATTGGGATTCATATTCATCGGTGCATGGATAGGCGCAATGTTGGGCCTCGTTCACTCGGAGGTTGAGTATGGTAAGTAGTTCATATTCCTTTGTGATAATAGGACAAATATCCTGCTATAGAGCAAGAAAATGGAAAAGTGCCGAGGCACAGGCCCGGTGATATTCATGGTCTAAATACTCCCCGGTCTGGATACATTAACGGAACCGTTTAAGTCACCAACTCGCTATCCACCTCCCGAGCTGATTCCTTTCAAGATCTTGCTTCAAGGATCGCTTGTTCACTTTGATATCGAGAAGCGAGCTCTCAGTAAGGACCACCAACTCTCCTTGCTCGTACTTATCCTGTTTTACAGTGATTACTTGGTCTGGCTTGTACAGGCGTGATGTACACGATGACCCTCGGCCATTAGGAAACCAATCGGATCAAGATACCCTGTATCCTCAGGGTATCGAGATCTTCCGTGATATTGGCTCTTACCTCGGCGATGTGACATTCATAGAATGGGAAAACGGAGTTCCCCTCGACACAAACACTTTTACCATCTCATATAGGACCGATAATGTTACGGCAAAACCAATCGGCGTGATTGGGGCCCATATGTGGGACAGTTTCGACACGGAGATCACATTTACGCAAAGG